TAAAATGGGATGGGGTTTGCTCTCTATTTATATACTGTGGCCTGCCTTGCCAGTGCTGGTAGGGGTGGGGGTTTTGTTTTGCTCCTCTGATAGTTCCTCGATTAGCATATGTTTGCTGCTGGATTGTGTGCCTGGTGGAAACCTTTGCTTATCTGGGTGATGATTGCTGGTGAGGCGATCTTTTGGTCTTTTGTCTCTTTTGAATAGTATGTAGATGCTGTTAATCTCTGTGTGTCTGTTAATTGCTGCCTTGAATTGAGTCCAAACTTTTCTAGCTTTTTTGCACATCCACCAACCTTGGTAAAATGTCCCCTCTTGTGGTTTACATTTCCAACATAACTTTGAAGTACCTTTATACATTCTAGACAAGTTTTCCAGTGACATATACCAATGATACATCATTTTATAAAAGTTCTTTTTAAGATTATAACATAATGTAAATTTCAATCCTTTCAACCACATATTCTCCTACGGTTTCATTTGTATATTGTAACCAAATTTTTTGGCCTATTTTATCATACAGTAGACTCTTTCACTTGTTCTTTCTCTGTTTCAAATTTCAATAGAAGTTTATACATTTTAGCATTAACATGTCCATCATTTGTACACAGTTCTATTTCAAACTCAGTCTTACAATACTCAATACCCAAAACGTATATTATCTACTTTAAATCATTCTAATAATTGTGCCTAAGAAAACCATTGACAAATATATCCTTCTGTCACAAAATCTTCTCTTGATTTTATTTTGCATTCTCCTTGACAAAATTCTAATATATCATCATAAGTTAGCCTTAACCTTAGCTTTATTGTACCATAAATATCCATGCCACCCAAATCTCAAGTCATGTCCCATTTCTCAGCAACATCCACTCTTTCGTCCAAACTAAACAGCAAGCTGCAAAATATAATTTGAAATCAGGTAACCCCAATCCTCCTCTTTCTTTTACATCTTGTAACACCTTATGTTTAACTTGTGGGTTTTTTCCCCTGACATGCAAATTTAGATATAGCGTTCTGACACTGTTTAATTGGTACATCAGTTGTCAAAAAGGGAATTGTCTGAAATAAAAATAACTTCTAGGCAAATCTTTCATCTTAATCACAGAAATTCTTCCCAGCAACAGCAGTTGTGTTTTCTCCCATCTTAACATATCTCTTTTAACTTCATTCCATGTCTTAACATAATTATTTTGAAATAACATACAATTCATATTTGTCATATTAATACCCAAATATTTTACCTTCTTCTCGATTTTATTCATCAATTCTGTTTGATCTTGTATCTTCATGTTTTTTGTTAACATCTTTGTCTTCTGTTTGTTAATCTTGAAACCTGCTAATGCACCAATTTCTTTTAGTTTTCCCATTAATATCTCAGTTCCCTTTAAAAGATCTTCCAAAACCAACTCCAAATCACCTGCAAAAGTTCTTAACTTATAAGTCTCCTTTTTAATTTTTACTCCCATAATACTCTCTCCTGTCTTATATCTCTACTCAAAATTTCAAGAACCAAAATGAACAGAAGAGGAGACTGTGGGCAGCCCTGTTTCTTTTTGTATCTGACATGGTTTTGTTAGATCTCCATTAACAATAATTTGTGCATTCTGTGAAGTATAAATCAACTTTACCCATTCTATAAAAATCTCTCCAAAATTCATATCACCTAAAACTTTAAATAAGAAAGTTCAGCAAGTTGTCAAAAGGTTTCTAAAAAAAATTATGCAGTTTTTTTTCTCATTTCACCATCTTTCATAAACTTTAGTAAACCAGGATGTGTAATAACTTCATTTATTTTTTCTAGATGAATTTTGCTATTTCGTTTTGCAAATCTGCTTTCTTTTATTTTGTCTTCCGTACTCCAAACCAAACTAAACCACCATTGTCTGATAACTACTAGGGTGGATTTTCCTTCAGTACACGTGACTGTGGTTGGATTGTCGCTGACTGTACAGCGGAAGGTTTGAAGTCTGTGCTACTGTTACAGGAAAAGTGCCCATTCATCAAGGAATACATCCCACCCAGTCGTCTCTTTGATGCTGTAAATGTGGTGAGCATGGAAAAGTGAATTTCTCCCTGAGAATCCATTCTCCCCCCCACCCTTTCCCAGACACTGCCACCAACAATCTATGATGCCAGCTGTTTTGGCCAGCTAGTGGTCAAAAGCCAGCAGTACAGGCAGTCCTTGGGTTACATCCATTCATTCAGCGACTGTTCAAACTTACGACAGCACTGAAAAAAATGGACTTACGACGGGTCCTCAAAGTTGCAGCTGTTGCAGAGTCCCCATGTTTATGTGATCAAAATTTGGGCGCTTCACAACTGGCCCGTATTTATGACCATCGCAGTGTCTCACGATCACTTTCTCCTGCCCTGCGCAAACTGCTTCCACTTCAACTCCCCCCACCCGCCTATCTTTGTCTTGGCCATGCTGTAGAGGGTGGCCCAAAGGGCAGAGATAGAGGGGGAGATGGGGGGGGGAGTTGAAGTGGAGGCAGTTCACGCAGGGCAGGAGAAGTGTGAGGTCCTCGCCTAATGACCGTGCAGTGCTCACCCAACGACCACAGCCAGGACTGCTTTTGCTAAGTGGCACATTTATGTGATGTTTTGCTTAACTACCTCTTTGCTTAGCGATGAAAATTCCGGTCCCAATTCCAGTCGTAACCCGAGGACTACCTGTAGAGATTTCCAGGCAAAAAGTAGGGCTAAGTAGGTATGCTTGTGCTCTCTCTGTGTTTACTGTTCTTGTAGGCTGCCCTGATCAATTAAGACTCTGGGTGGTAAACAACAAAGCAAAACAGAAACAATAATAGCCAAATAAAAGCAACAATAGAATGTATGCCCACAAACAGTCAATTTCGGTTGAATTCATACTTTGGGATGTACAAGGAAGCAGAGGGCCGAATGTACGTCCAGGTGGAGTGGTGGCTCTGTCAGAGAAGGTTTTCAAGGCAGATAACTTCCAAAGCTTTTCTGCAGCTTCCTGCAGACTCCTCCTTGCCCAAATCAGATTGTCCTTTATCCTCTCTCCTCAGTTGCTGAACATGCAAAATGCTGATGGTGGCTTTTCAACCTATGAAACGATTCGCGGGAGCTGGCTGCTGGAACTGTTGAATCCTTCCGAGGTATTTGGTAAGAGTAAAGACTTGTATCGCATCTTTACTTTCTCTAGAGGGTCTTCAGCTCCCCTTCTGGGCAAGTGGTCTGTAGAATAAAGATGGGTTGAATCTGCCCCCCACCTCTCCACTGCAGAGCAGTTTTCTCGGCCTTTTGGTGGCTTCACCAGGTAAACTCTTGTCAGAATTGCACTGGAAGGAAAGAAAAATATATCCTGCTTCTAACCGCCAGACCGCTATCTTCTGACATACTTGTTCTGTGGTGTTTAGGTGATATCATGGTTGACTACACATACGTGGAGTGCACCTCAGCCGTGGTGCAGGCACTGAAGCATTTCCACAAGTGCTTCCCTGAACACAGAACCTTGGAAATCAGGTGAACAAGGAGGCGGGTGGAAGGAAAGACCGTTTCAGCGTTTACTTTTAGGATGGACCTTCCTTCTGAGAAAGTCAGCGAGAGGACAAAGGGCAGAATCGTTTGTGGGGGTGGCGGTGGGGGAGAATCAGATCATTATTCCCCAAGGGAGGAGAGAATTTTTATTGCTTCCCATCTGGACTTAGGAGGGAGGGGACAGTGAGTGGCTATCACAGCTTGAAAGGGCTTCCCACTGTGTTCTCCTTTTTACTTAGAGAGGTACTGCAAAAGGGCTTGAAGTATTGTCAGAGGAAGCAGAGAGCTGACGGATCCTGGGAAGGGTGAGTATCTTCTGAACAAATGCAGCTTGAGAGTTTGGGGGCTGTCCACTCCTGAGATTTGTTAGGATAGGAAAATATTTCACCGCAGGCAGTGAGATCCCTGGTTTGCTTCACAGATCCTCCTTTCTCACTTGTTGGGTTGCACTCAGTTGGACTTAGTCGTCGTAGCAGAGGGATACACACTGTGGATTTGGAAGCCCCCACCTAGTTCAGTCCTGCCTCTGGCAGACATTTCAGGGAAACCTCTCTCTCTTTCAGGCTGCTGGAGAAAACGAACAACAAGCGTGGCATGCTGCCCAGTGCTTTCCCCTCCCTTCCCTGCTGCCCCATGCATTCTGCATTTGCTGACTGATTTTTCCTCCCTTTTAGGAAATGGGGTGTCTGCTTCACTTATGGTACATGGTTTGGATTGGAAGCATTTGCTTGTATGCAGCAGATCTACCGTGATGGGTGAGTCACCTCCTTTCTCCTTTGCTTTCTGCTGGCTAGAAGGAAAGATTGGCAGTGGAAGAGACCCCTCACGAACAGCATAGGATAAAAACTCTCGCCTTGCCCTTCCATTCCCTCTTTTGGCAAGGGTGGCCCTTGATTTCCGTCCTTCTGCCTTTCCTCCTCTAGAGTGGCCTGTCAGGCAGTGTCTCGGGCTTGTGAGTTCTTGGTCTCCAAGCAGATGGAGGATGGTGGTTGGGGAGAGGACTTTGAGTCTTGTGAACAAAGCAGATACATCCAGAGTGCTACCTCGCAGATCCACAACACCTGTTGGGCTCTCTTGGGACTCATGGCTGCTAGGTAAGAGCTTACGGGTCCCACGGGCATTGGCTTCCCGTTTCTGACGGCCGGTGGCCTGTGTTCTGAGTACGAGTCAGATAGCGCTTCCTTTGATGTTCTGACTGTCTGGCACTGGGGAGGGACACCAGTTCCACCCAGGCCCACCCAGTAGCTTCCAGGGTAGGCGTTGTAACTGCTTGTGCAAAGCAGTATCCTGAAGACGTTTGAGACTGTCAAACCAGGTTATCTTGCAGGACTGCTCTTTTTGCTTTGCAGGTACCCAGATGTCAGAGTTCTGGAGAAGGGGATCAAAGTTTTGATTGAGAAACAGCTGCCTAATGGGGACTGGCCTCAGGTAAAATGTCTCTTTTCTTCAGTTCATCTGGTTTGCTTAAGAGCATCACGCCTCGACTCCTTAGCTCTTTCAGTCCTTCTCCCCAAGGCACGTGCAAATTCTTCTTCAAGCATCACAAGAGTTTCTTTGCTGTTGCTCTGTTATATCTACTGATGAGTTTTCACTTATCTCCCGCATACCCACGCCAGCTAGAGGGCATACCCTTTCTCGCTCCTAGGCTACACATGAGGAACTGCTGCCCCAACAGTTATTAGTGCCTGAAAGGTTTGGTTCTCAAAGTCCTCTCATGAACCTGCTGACATAATGCTTAAATATGGATGGAGAACAAAAAAGCATCTGCCGTTACTGCCTTTTACCTCGCAGTAATATCATGCGCTCAGTTTTGATTTATTCTGATACCCTTTTTGGTCCAGCCCATTCCTACAGCAGCAAGTCTCTCCTTTGTGAATCCCTACATCCTCCTTAAAATGGTCAGGCTGTTTATTCTTCTGATATTCAAAGCAGATCAACCTTGTCAGAGGCTTCTGCAGAGTATGTGGTTGTGTATATTAGGTGGCAGGTGACTCACATGTTTCTTTCCCTTTTGTGTTCCTGATACCGCAGGATCTTATTGTGCTGCTTAATGCACAGGGAAGATGAGAGGGCAGCTTTGCATTGTATTTCTTGTTTTCTCCGCAGGGGAATGCTCCAGGAGTCTTCAACAGGACTTGTGCCATCAGCTACAGCTCCTATCGAAACGTGTTCCCCATCTGGACCCTGGGGCGCTTTTCTTCTCTATATCCCGCCAGCCCCTTTTCAGGCAAGCTCTCCACAAAGGTATTGGAAAATGGGGAGGAAGAACTGGCCGCAGAAATGACCGACGGACATAGCTTAGCGTTTGCTGCTTCGTAGATGTGGGGCCTGTAACCAACATTGCAGGGATGAGCTGCCTGTCTGCCTGAGGTTTTTTGTGAGGCCACAGGCCTCATTTGAGGCCAGTGAAGGGGCTCTGCTTCAAAGAACCAGTGAGGAGAGAAGTCCCTGAAATCCTGCTGCTGTGCTGCTGGTTCTTGCTTCTTATAAGGTGTCCCTAAATTCTGCTACTTTGGGGAAAGTCAACTGCATTTGGAAAGAGAGGCTCTAATCTGGCCTGGCAAAGAGAAACGCGTCTGAGGCAGAAATGTCAATATGAGGTCTTGAAGGCTTGTGGAACTTTGCTCTTCGCACTGGTTGGAGCTCCTCTCTCTCAAGCGGACTTTTGGTCTTCCTATTGAAGCCAAATAGGAGGAAAACGTTAGCCACCTTTATTCTGTCACTTTTATGCCCTTCTTGACGGAACAGAAATGGGAAGAGAAAGTGCTAAGTTTTGCCTCAGAAAGAGTCAGAGGGAACAACTTGCCATTCCTAAAATTCTTGTTCCCCACATCCTGCTGACATAATTAGCCCAGTGAAGCCTTGTCTGAATCCAGGAGAAAATCCTCCAAGGATCCTCTCATGTCCAGCACAGCAATAACTTGAAAACCGGCCTTCCCGTTCGATGGAGTTGCCCCCTTCTCTGTAAGCCGATGTAGCTTTCCTCAGTTTGGCACTGTCGGGTCATATTAGAATTTGGCTCTCCTAATGCCCAGCCAGGAAAGGCCAGTTGGCTGGGAATTATGAGAATTGAAGCCCAGTTTGTGTGGGAGGCACCAGGTTGGGGAAGGAGGCACTGAAATATCTGTCTCCACACGCACACACCTTACACCAAGGAGGAGGAGGAGGTTTTTTTCTCTTTCACTTTCTCAAGCATCTTCAGAATGTTTTCTTAAGCTAACATGAAGCATTTTGAGGTGGGAATTTTCATTTTGCTCAATTATTAAATTGTACAAATGGAGGAAAAAATACTACAGGTTTCTAGATTTTAGGATTCCTTCAATCCAGGAAGTTCTTAACACCCCCTGCTCAAAAGAGCACCCTCCACTAAGGTTTTTTACTTTTTCCCTTTTGATACTTCTTAAGATTTCTTCTCCCTACTTCTTTTTCCCACTTTCCTTTACTGCTGATCTATATTTTGTCCATGACCCCCATTTGTCTCCTCCTTGAAGGATTGGTTTTATTTAGATCCTTATTAAATAGTCTTACGTTCCACTGGATCTCTGCTTTTTAAATGCTCTTTAACGTCTTTGTATGTCTGACCCAGGTTTTCTGTCATTTCCTTTTCATTCATCAGAGTTTTGCTTTAATAAACAAATAACTGCTTTAAAACAGTTTGTAGTCTTTGATATCCTTAGCTTTTGTTTTCAAGCTTTCCTCAGTTCTCTGGGCTCAGTATCAAAAAGATTTTATTTGCATTCAATATGCAAGATATATAACACTGAATTTGCATAGACTAGACAGCAATTATCCAAACTAAGTTGGTTTTCAGACTAATCCACAGCCTGACCCAGTGCAAAAGTTACCTAATGTAACTTATGTCAGGTTCCCCCTGATGAAGGACTTAATGTAGCACCTATCTAAGGGGAGGGTGTTCACAAAACTGGACTTGCGCGAAGGTTACTTTAGGGTCAGGATCCA